GAAGTCAGAGTAAGTGATAGAGAAGATGGAGTCTTACATTAATAGGCATGAAAGTAAGGAAATACAGGAGCAGAAATCTGAATGAATTTTATAGGAGAGGGCATAGAGCTGTTTTGGTGATAAACATGTAAAAAGGAAGAAACAACACTGCAAAATGTGATCTGAATTGCTTATGTGTCTGCTTTTAAAAGTGGAGTTATTATGAAGATGAATTTTAGGAATAAGGCTAGAGAGGCAACTTAGGGTCATGTGGGCTATCTCAGCATGTTTCCCTGAGTAAGGTTGGAAGGAAGACTGAAAGCAGGACCTTTGGAAAGATTTATTTAAAAGACAACTTTGCTCTGTGGGGAAACAGACACATCAGAGCCACCAGGGTAATATTTGCAGGGTGTTGGTATTTCTACACTCATCAATGGAGAGTGATGTTCAGCTTCCTGCTTCCTGCCTTGACTTAGGAGAGAAGCAAGTTTGAAAACACTTAACTCCTCGATCTGTCTTTCTTGCACACTTAATTTTAAGGAGCAAGGGTGGCAGAATGGGATGCAAAGATCTGAGCACGTCTGCAGCAAGTGCTTAAGCACCTTGGCTTGTGTTCCGGAGTGAGCTGTCCTGGGCTTCTGGGCTCCAGCTTGCTTCCTGTTTGGTGCCCCACACAAAGCATGGTGGGAAAAGAGCTCTGTGGCTCCAACCAGTGTTGGGCAGAGCCCGAGAGACTGGTGCAATCAATCAAGTCCAAGCACAAGATGAGGAGACACACCCTTGGCGATCTGCAGGCGCTCTCTGTGGCTAGTCACTTAGCTCATGAATCCTCTGTTAATTCTTTGGAATCTCTTTACATTATTCAATTTTGTGTCTCTTTAGGCTATGAAGATAATGACAAGTAAAGCCAAATTCACCCCATTGTCAAGATATCTACATTTATACTGATTTTGAAAATAATGTCTCTGCTGGATGTAACCAAAGAAAGAACTTGTAAAATAGAGCTATTTTAAATTATAAATTGCAGCATAATTTTAATTTCAAAATTGCTCTTGTCAAGTGCCAGTTTGCAGATTTTCTTTGTGATATCAGAATAAAAACTCCATTTTGAGAGGATCGTGTCTAATCACTTCTCTATTTAATACTTTTCTCTCCCTAAGACACATGACGTTTGTGATTTATCCTGCATTTCGGTATTCACAGTGAGGATCAAAGTGACCTAAATATATTCTATTATAACAGAGCTATTTACCAGGAAGGATGAAATGTTTTGCCAATGATATACAATGACTTTCCAGCTGAAGTGCTTTACTTATTGACTAATAGTTTTGACATTTGTTTTTATTATGTTATTTTTCAGGTAGCAGAATAATCACAGATGGTCGTGTTGATACCCAAGGTCCTATTTTGAAACTCTTTCAGTTGTTTTAGGTTGCTTTACATTGGAGAAGTTTTTAGCATAAAGAATGCACTTAGAAACTGTAGATGAAAATCATGGATTTATCAGAAGACTTTAAATTTAAAATGGGTTAGATGACCTTAGTAAAATGTGAAAACGATAAGAACATTTCATGTCACTTAGAATATAAATAATCAGAAAATGGAGTTAGTTATACTTCAAAGGACGTTCATATTTCAATTTTAAAAATCTTTGGTTTTCTATATATTGTAGAAGAGATGTACCCATGATGGTGATTCTATCGGAATTTTTAGAATATGGGCTAGAATTGGTGTTATTTTATATATTTTTCAAAGGTACAAGAAAAGTGAACAAAATGGAGCATGTTGTAAAATGTGACATATTATTATGGACTTAATAAGAGCCGCCTTCACCTGCCACAAGCCTAAGTTAGTTTCCTTCCTACTTCCCCTCATGACATCCAGAATTTGTTAATTGTTGTAGCATCCGTACCAGTATGTTGTAGTTTCTTTGTATTTGTTCCTTTTGTGTGCTACACTATAAACCACTCATTCACAGAAACTGTATTTTGTGTATCTTTGTATTTTAGCATTTATCACAATATCTGTGATATGGGTTGAATATTTACTAATGTGATACTCTCCATGTGACAGTATAGTGTGGAGGATTAAGAGGAGTAATTGCCTAGAGAGGTCACCTGTTGACCTGCAGGGCGCAATCTCAGCCCCCTTTTTGTGCCTCCTGTGAATGAGACATATTTCTATCTCTCCCTTTTTCTGTAGACCTTTCAACCTAATTTTCTTCCCCAGACTTTACCAGCTATTGTAGTGGGGATGCCCAGGAGACCATGTCTCATGCCCTTGCATGGTCTAGAAGATGTTCATCTTCCATAGGGCAGTTCCCAACACATGGACACCAGAGTTATTGGCTAAATGTTCTCTTTTCTTGTTCCTTAGCTGAACATGTCTGCAACAGATTCTACCTCATTCCCCACAGAGTCCTAATGAGATGGTGCCCCATTTCCTGCAGTGGAGACCAATGAGAGAAGGTGCCTTTGCATTGATTTTCTCCTCTTTTCCATTTCATTCTTCTCGGAGTTTACTGCTGCAGCCAGATTTCACCCCACAGAAAAATGGGATTAATGCATCTTGCTGCAGATTCTTTATCAAAGGGGGTCTGATGCCAAGATATTACCTAACAAGCCAGTGAAATTTATACAAGATTTATTTATTTATTTATTTATTTATTTATTATTTAGTACAGGGTCTATAGGGTCTTACTACACAGATCAGACTCACATTGATTCTCTTTTCAGCCTCCAAAGTGCTGAGATTACAGGCAGGTGCCACCACATCCAATCTCAGTTGCTATCTCAGCGTGCCCCAGGGGTGGGGCCAGCATGCAGGCTGGGATTGAACCCGGGTCCCTGCATCTACCTAAGCAGGCCTTTTTTAGTCCTCTGAGCTATCTGGCTGGCCCAGAAGTCACTTTTGTCTCACTTTCTTTATTATACAATCTGACAGATATGAACATAAATTCCACACCAATAAAACTCCTCTTATCATTCATTTTCTTGGGTAGGGAAGCCATTCTGTGATTGCTATATGTTTTTTTTTAAATCACATTCTCTTAATCTCAGTTTGGTGTCTTTCTTTTGCTTGCTATATTAGTACTTACTTAGGCTAAATAAGATGGGAGGAAGAGAAAGAAGGACTTATTTTTCTACATTCTTTTGCTAAGAGCTGTAAATAGAAATACAGATGTAACAACATGGATCACAGTATAAGGCATTAGAAGGTTATTTCCCTTCTGCTACCCTGTCCAAACAATTGTACACTAAGCATAAAATAAGCATATTTTAGCTTTTTTGACTTGCTCACATTTAATATTTTAGCATTTGTGTCTATTATAAAAACTATTACAATAAATACTTCTTTCAGACTTTGTAAGTATAATTTTGGTAATTTCCTAAAACAAAATTATAATATTTATGTTGCTATCTAATGAGCAATCTCTCCAGCCCAACAACGTGTTTTTTTAAAAAAAAAAGCAAAAATAAGCAAACAAACAAAACTCTCATTAGTAAAATTGGAGAGAGTTCCAGGTAACAGCACTAAGGTCTCCATAGCTTGCTACCTATGACCTCAGGCAAGTTACTCTGTGCTTTGAAGTTCTATCTGTATGATGCAACAAGTAGTAGCAGAGACTATATGGGCTACTGTGAGAAGGCAGTAAATTCATATCCATAAATATAAAGCACATGTAATTATGCCTGTAAAATAATAGACACAAAATAAATTCTACCAGTACAATTCAGAGAAATACAAAAACATGTCTATGGAAAACCTCTTGATGGCTGCTGTATAAGGTATGGAGAATTTTACTATAAAACAAACACCAAGGTATAAACCAGGACAACTTTTTGGACCACCAGTGTTGGGCCTCACTTTGTTTGAATATGTCTGAAGCTCAAATCCAGAAATCTTCTGGACTGGCTGCTCTATGGGTCAAGACTGAATCTGTTCTAACCATCAAAATTCATTGTTCTTTTCAAGAAAATGGAGTGAAAGATTAGTGGAGAAGTCTCTTACTAAATATCTGGGTGATTGGGCCATAGAGAGGTCCAACTTGAATGGACTCCCACCTGCAACACCAACTTTTGAAACATAACTGACTACCATTGATTAATTGGTCTGACCTAACTGTGGAAAACTGAGGCTGAGAAACTATGTCAGTGGTTTGTAGGTCAGTTGATGAGTCCCCTTTTCGGACTGTGAATCTTCTCAGGGGGCATGAGTGGAGGGTGAATGATGCTGTTCAGGACCATCCCCCTCAAAATATGCCACCTTGGCACTCTGAGAAAACAGCAGAAGGACAACGCTCCTCTTGACCTACTCCCCACCTTCACCTCTGAAGAAGGCCATGAAATGATTCTATTGCCTTTCCCTAATTTGGATAATAGAATTATCATTCCACAGAATAAAGAAAAGTCATACAGATACACAAGGGAATCAGAAGAAAAAAAGTCTCAGTCAGCTCCCTTCAATTTACTAGCTCCTTGTCCTCCAATCATGCTGCAAAATTATCCATAAAAAGACAGTGTTGGCCAGCGAGATAGCTCAGCAGATTAAAGCACCTGCTTAGGCAGACACAAGAACAGGAGTTCAGTCCCCAGCATGTGGTGCAAGATGCACCCCAATCTCTGGGGTGCGCTGAGAACTGACTGAGATTGGGCGTGGTGGCATGTGCCTATAATCCCAGCACTTGGGAGACTGAAAACAGGTTAACTATGAGTCTGATCAGTGGAGTGAAACCCTGTTGACCCTGTACTAAATACATAAAAAAGAGACAGTATTTTCTACTTGTCTGAATCTTTGTGAAGATTTCTGTGTCATATTCAACTTAAATACAGTCACATATTTTCAATTATGCTTTAATTCTTAAGGAGCCTCAGCCATGAAATGAACCTAGTGACAGGAGGAAAAAGACACCACTCTTTGTCATAATATTTTATTTTTAGGTTACAGCAAAAATTATAACCTAAGTAGATAAATGATTGGCAGATGAGTTATGATTATCTGTCTGACAGAACATCACATGGGTGCTCACTTCAGCAGCACAAACTCTAAGATTGGAACAATACAGAGATTAGTATGGCCCCGTCGCAAGGATGACACACAATTTTGTGAAGTGCTCCATATTTTGGAGGGCTGGGGAGATAGTGTAATAGAATAAGCACTTGCCTGGCAAGCACAGGGTCCTTAGTTGAATCCCTGGTACTGTAAAAAAATCACATGGTCATGGCTAACTGGGATGCCCTGTCACAAAAAGGTACAGTTGTTTTCCTTCTTACAGGAAGCAGAAATAATAAACTGTGGGCTTTTCTATTCCCAGGCAGTGAGTGAAGTTTCTCTAGCTTGTAAAATAAGCATGGACTACATAGTGGAGAAGGAGAACTTGCTGCCCAGTGTTCCATTGCTTAAAAATCTTTCTCTTTTACTCTTTTAATTTTTTTTTAAATTTTAAATTTTTTTGTTTTTGGTGGAACTGGAGATTGAACTCAGGCCCTTGTGCTTGCCAGGGAAGCACTTATTCTACTGAGCTATCTCTCCAGTCCTTCTTTTAAAATTTTAAATAGATAATTTGGTTCAATTATGCTTCAGCAACTTAGAAGAAAGGCAGTGGCTGTCAAGAAATCCGAAGATCCCCAATTTCTTCAATAGAAACGTAAGAAAGCTTGACCATTGGCCTAGTTGTCCTAAAAGGGGCTTGTTTTAGGGCAGAGAACAAATTCTTATAGCAGTAGTGTTTCAGATATGAAGAATTTTCACTTCTGGCAGACTACCACATATATAATCAAGAGATTTAGAGTATCTGATACACTTCTTGACTGGTCTCTGCCTCTAGGTCTTCTGCAATTCCCTTTAAGTGATATTTAAAAGGTAAAGAAAATTATACTGAGATCTGTTCTCTGAATGGGAGTAATAGGTAAATCAGGCACTACTGAAAATGCTAATATTAATAACAATATTAATTGGAAAGTGTTAGATAATGATTCTATAGTGAGTATATTTCTATTGTATATGTTTCTTTGCTTGTAGAAAAAGAAAATAGAAACTGCTCAAAAGTTAGCCATGTTTTTCTGAGATTGAAGTTATTTCTTTTCTTAACAGATTCTTTTTTATTGCTCTTAATTTTTTTGTCATTTATGTAGTTACAACTGGCATGTGAAACTTTCATATATTTGTAGTGTACAACATGAAGTTTTGATCTATGCATACATCATCAAAGAGCTAATTCCAACTATTCAATGAATGCCATCCTTCACATACTTGATTTTTTGTAGTGAGAGCACTTAAAACACACTCTATCTGATGATGTAACTATCCTCAGGGCAATAGGTTTCTCAAACACATTCCTCCTGCCTAACTGAAGTGTACCCCTGTTTTACTTTAAAAAATATCAGTGGAGACAATGATAATCCTGATACGATGGAGTCACCTGGTGTAAGACACAATGGCTGGAGAAGAATGCATTCTAATGTATGGCAAGAAGAAAAAAATAAATTAGGTACTCACACAATTATTTCAATTGGGCCATTTGTTAGAAGCATTCAAGGACATATACAAACAGTGGATAAAGTGGTCTTAATTTTGTTTTCTAGAATATTTTGTCACTCTGTCTGGTCCCAACTGATAATATCAGGAAACTCTCTAGACTGCCTCTCTTCCTCACTGCACAAAATGCATTAAGAAGGGTTTGAGGAGGAGGAGAAAAGTATGAAATGATATTTTCTTCTTTTGAATCCAAGTAGAGTCATGTTCTTGTATCACTTTTGAATTGGCTTTCTAATTTCAAATTTTATTCTAAGTGGAAGTCACATACACATTCAATGTAGAAAACACAAATGAAAGAAAAATTGTCCTCATTTTCATTACCCAAGAATGATCACTTTTAATGTTTAGAGATACATATGACCGAGGGATGAAGACGTAAATCAAAGTTAAAATAAAATTAAGCTTAACCCTTGGTAGCGTGAGTAACTGTTTGGCAATTTTGGGAATTGCCTTTTTAACAGTGCCCTGTAGGCTGCTAGCACAAAACCTTCTGTATTTACGGAAACCAGAGCTCTGCTGGCTAATCTAGAACCCCTGATTGTTGCAACTGTGATCTTCATCTGATACTAGTCCAGACTTCATATTGCTGCACTGGAAGAATACAAATAAAAGCTTTTAATAATTTTGGAGAAATTGTCTTTTAGGAATGTTGGATCAATTTGCAGTTCCACTAAGTGAGATTCTATTTCCTAGCTTTAAAACTACTTTTGCATTTTCTGATTTGTTTCCTGTTTTTGATAATTACAAGTGGCATGACCCTATTTTAGTAAACACTTTTGTTACTGAAGATAGGCCTCACAGTATATTATTGATGTTTTCCTCCTCTTATGAATTGTTTAATTTTCTTCATATAATATTTTTATGTTAGCATCAATCTAATTCTTATAAATTTAAAAATTAAAAGCACAATATAAAATATATGTGCATCAAACTTGCAATTCTTTTAAGCTTATGGATTAATTTTTATTTATATATTACACATTATACATATGGTAATATTGTGAGGGTCATGTTAAAAATGTAAATAACCAACATTATGAATCTTTTCCTACTTCTGGTCTCTCCTCTAAGAGACTCTACTAAATCAAATGTGATGTACACTTTAATTTCCTCTAATAGCTTACTTTAGCTTTACAAAGTTACTAAAATTTTCATTTATCTCAAATTTGTTTTGGATTAATTTGCAAGATAGGGATCCCTTTGGCTGCTAGCACAAAACCTTTTTGTTGTGAGTGGATTGTTCTGGTTTATCCACTTGTCACTCTTTCATTTATGAAGTAAATAAGGATTAAGTGTGTAGTATGCTACATGTCCTATTTTATGTGCTTAATAAAGCAGTAATAAAAAAGACAATTCTCCTGCCTCATAGAATTTATGTTCCATTGAGCAGACAACCAGAATGCACATAGATATGAATGGGTGAAAAAGGTTGATCCATTTCTCTCCCCATCGTAAGGTTCATGGGTCATACCCTAAACCAAGAGAAATGTTAACAAAACAAAAACACAACAATTTCATTAATCAATTTAACTCATTGATTTGATGACATTTATTTAAGAAAAGTTTTATATGACAACAGAAGCTTCAGAATGAAGATTCAGGGAAGTATGTATTTTTAGAATGTGTATTTTTATACTTTGAAGAGAAATGAACCACATGTTGAACTGTGACTGGGCAAAACAATGTAGTCTGATGTGAAAGACTGAATGGGGAGTGAGCAAGTCATGCCCAGATGCTTCTTCACCTCTCTTGTGGTATTTGTTTCACCTACGTATGAAGCAGGAATTCTTTTGGAATGAGATGCTTAAATTTACTACTGCACCAAGTAGGTCAGAGAATTTCTTTATGGCCAGATCCTACACAAAAAGATGGAAAAAGTTAAAGCAATATTTATAGCTTTATTTTTGGTTTTGGGGTAAAGAATTTCCAGTTCCTTTGACTCAACTTGGGATAAAGAATTAATTTCTACAGCTTGTTTTGGGGGCAGAAAGGAGATCAGGAGAAAGAAAGGAAAAGGTTTGAGGGTGACTTCACTGCTTCAATCCTTCCAGTGTCTTCCCATTTAGATGATAGCTTGCCAATGTGCCATACTTAGGCGTATCAGTTTCTCAGCCCCAGTAGTGCCATTTTTCTAAAAGATGATTAGGGACACCCAGGTGGTGATTTTTGAACAAAGGGTAGAGTAGTGGTGCCAGTCATGTACTTTACTGGGAGAAGAGCATTCTTGCTAGGCAAAGGCAGGAGGCAGACAACTTCTTAACCGGAGCAATGGGTGAATGAGGGTGTGGTAGGAAAGGGGCTGGTAGGGCAGTGGAGATGCTGAGGGCATTGTGAAGATGTTGGCGCTGATCCGGGATGATTTAGAAAGGCATTAGAATGCCCTGAGTGGAGTCCTGCCATATTCTGCCTAAGACTTAGAAATACAATATTGACTATTAAAAATAGTCCCTCTGGGCTGGGGAGATAGCTCAGTGGTCTAAGCACCTGCCGGGCAGACACAAGGACCAGAGTTCAATCCCCTGTACCACATCCCTTGCTGGCCCTGGAAGCACAGGTGTGCTGCTCTGCCCAGTGACTGGTCATGGTGGCACATAACTGTAATTCCAGTACTGGGCAGGTGGAGACAAGGGGATCACTACAAGTCTGAACTGTGTAGTGGGAACCTGTATCAAATAAATAAATTGGAAAAAAAAAAAGAAAATAGTCACTTCATCCTGTCTTCAAAGTTCCATTCTTTCTTGTAGACCTGATGTCTATCTCTGTACTCACAGCTTAATAGCAAACAGTTATAATATTGTCTTTAGTAGAACAAGTCTTCATTACATTAAAAAATTGTGTTTCCTGGGTTTGTTCATTTTTCCACAGTGACTTTTGTTTTTCCCAACTATATTACGATTTTGTTTTGTCTCAAGTTAGAATAACTGCTAATGCTTAAAGGTCCCTTTACTCAAGTAGACATTTTGTTTATCTTTTTTAATGTATTTAGTACAGGGTCTCCAGGGGCTCACAACACAGAATGCACTAATAGTGATCCTCCTAAAGGTCCCTTTAAAGTACAATTTATTATCATAAAAACTATGCTAAATTTTTCTTATTGCTTAATGCTTATGTTTGCTTTCTTGGAAAAATTTTTCCTTGAATAAGTTCTCTCCACTTATTAAGTTTAATTTTAGAATATTAACATGTATTTTACTTCTGTGAAATAGTATCTTTGTATTATACTTTAAGGTACTATCTTGTATTATACTTTCTTACCGATTTTTTTGATATAGAGAAAGCCTGTGAGAATATAAGTGTGCATCAATAGGTAAATAAACATGACTACTTGTGTGGTCTAAAATGCTTGTATGTTCTAAAAGTTTTAATTTGATTTTTTTTCTAGTTTTAGATGATGCTATCTTATTCCAAAAACATTAATTTAAAATTTTCCTTCCCAATATCTCTACTTCTTATCTTCTTTTGTTTTGCATTAGCTATAACATTAGCAAAATATGAATTACTAGAGATAATCCTTGTCTTGTTTCTGGACAACCCTTTCTTATATCTGATCACTTAGGTAAATCCCTTTGATATTGAGAGAGGAAATCT